GAGAATATGATAGATGAATAAAAACTTTCTAAGCTGTAAGATATTATACTGATGGCATATTGCCCACTCTTTCTGGACTAATTTCAGATGCTTTTCATTGATTGCTGCTTTGTTTGGTTTAATTGGGAGTAGTACTTGTCAGTACTTGCATAGTTTTCCAAAACAGAATACCTTTCTAGTTCCACTATGTACACAGCGGCACTTTAGCAAAAGAAATTGATCTTTTATACAATTAATGATTCATTCTTATTTGCTCCATGGCCTCTTACATTGCTTGTTGTTAACTATCCACTTTTCATTATTCCTTGCAGTTTTTCAAAAACAAAACAATTTTGTTATATCTATATAAGTTGCACATGGAAAATATTCAATTTAGATTTTTTTTTTTTTTTCATTTGGAAGTCACATATCAAACTAATAAACATTTAATTGAATGGCAACATTCATCAATAAATCTCTGGTATAAAAATTTATAAACTGCTTTTGTCATGCTTCCCTATAAAGTCTTTTCAAATTTGGTGCAGTTAAGTTTTATTTAAGGATCTAAATTTTTGAATACCTATATATGGAGCCATAATCAGTTGCTAAAAGTCCTTGAAATTATAAGCATTGTGAGGAAACCTCTAACTTGTCAAAAGTTAAATTTTATAAGAAAATTCTGAAAACATCTCTCAACCTGAAGCATTAATAAATAGCATTGTAAATTACCAAATTATATTTGATTTTTTAATAAATTTTCCAATTGAAATTGCTTTAATCTAATATTACTATCTGGTTAGTTAATTATACTAGTGCATGTTGTGAAAGTAAACTAATTTGTAAAAGTTGGAAGACCTAGAGAAGTTCTTCTTGTAAGGAAACATTCTAGATACTTAATTAATCAGTAATCTATAGGAGAGATGTTGGATGAATAATCAAATTCAGTAAATTTTGAATTAGTTATAATAATAATGCAATCAAGAGTATGACTAGGAGAAAATGAGATATTCAGTCTATTTAATCTTTTCCTAGACTGTGTCCTGTGCATATACAAGCACAGATGGGAAGAGATGAGCACTGATTATTTAAGAAATCTATATCAAATCACAAACAAATCTACGAATAGAAGACAGTGATTCTGCTTTCCCTCTCAAGGCCAATATACTGATGAGTGGGAGCTATGCTATGATGTGTAGATATACATAGTTGATATAAGAATGAACTTAAACAAAAAATCAACATCCTCCTCCTCTTTTTTTTTTTTTTTTTAAGCATTTCACCCCAAGCAAGGTGGGAAGCCACTAGGACGCAAGGGGTTACAGAAAATTTAGAGCAAGATCAGATAGGAGTGATAGAAGAAAGGATGAGGGTAGTGGATAGATCAAGGCAACTGGAGATGTTGATTGACATTACACTTGAATAGCTGGAGATTATAGCTCACAGGGAAACAGGAGAAGGGAAGGGAGTTCCACAGGCAAGAGGTGCGAGACATGAAGCTATTAGAGTAGAAGAGACATCTACATTTAGGAGTTTCGACAGTGAAGGGGTGAGAGCGGGATGCCAGCCTCGTAGGGCGCTGAAACTCATGACGTCTGGGAACCAGTGAATGCAGCTCCTCGAAGCAATTTCCATGAAAGTATTTGTAGAACAGACAGAAGGAGGTGACGGCGCGTCTGTGAGAAAGTGACTGTAGACGAGACGCCAGGGCAGGGCCAACCACATTGCATATCCGCCTCTGGAGCCTATCAAGAACCCCGAATTTTGTTTGTAAGATGAGAAGGCCCGAAGTAAAAGAAACACAGTTTCGACCGTGACGCGGGCAGAGAGGACTTGGCAAAATCTGCATCATTATGTGGCCTCGGGCTGCCCATCGGAGGTGACTGCAGGGACACCTTTCCATGCGCGACATGGCACTACAAACACCCCAGTATCATACAACTGTTGATCAGAGCAGCCGCTCAAGACGCTACGCAAGAGTTAGGGCTCCTAACTACCAGTCGGAAACAGCAACCAGAGAACTGTCAGCCGTGTACCCTCAGAATGAAGAGGTGATGCCACAGACTGCACACATCACGGGAGAAACAGAGCTGCACTAATACAGAGGCCGGAGAGAGAAACAGTACTGGGAACCCCTTCCTAGACAAGAAACAAGGTGTAAGCCTCTACTCATTAAAGTATTTAAAAAAAAAAAAAAAAAAAAAATAGAATCTTTCCAAAACAGAATCTATTATCTGAAATTGGAATGCAAGTAGTGATGGCACATACCCTGAATCCATCATAAAAATTCAGAATGCAGAATTAGTAAATACTAAACACTTCAAATACCTTGGTATATGAATCAGTTACAACAAATTTAATATAGGAGATAAGGGAATTAAACATAAAATAAGCTCTGTTGGAGATAATTTTGCAAATTGCCACAAAGTGATGCAAAACCAAAACATTAACCTAAAATCTGAAGTCCTGTTCTTAAATAGCCTTGTCAGATCAAGACTTTCATATGGATGTCAAATTCATTTAGAAATATCTAAACTGTCAGCTGTATACAGCCACTTTCTCCAGATTAATGGTTAAAAATGGCTTTGAGCAAATTAAAACAGTAGCTCTTAGTGTGGACCATCCTTCTTCAAATCTTGTGGACTGTCACTAGAGAACCATAAACAAAGAACTGTACCAAATGACAGAAACAATATCACTTGATGACTTTCAACAGCAGCACCAACTAAAATAGATAGCAGATAAAATAATGATATAATCAAACAAAAGGTTAGGAAGGAAGTTCCACTCATCCAATATGATAACAACTAGTGAACTTGAGAAACTATTTTCCAGAAAAATGTTTAAGAAAGAGTTTATAAATTTCAACTGAAGCTAGCACTGGCTATATCAATAAATGCCAAGTGTTTCCTTATAAAGAAATGGCTAATATTACCATTTTAACATGATTCTGTCGTGTGAAAAAAATGACTTTTTTTTTTTTTTTTTACTTATCCATAAACTGTTATATCAGAATATGTTTACTATAAGATTCTAGAGATAATAGAACACAGTTGATGTTTTTAACTTATCTATATTGAGTCATTGTGCAGATCATCTGTTCTATAAAAACTTTTATTTTCATCATATTTTCATGTCCAGCGATACAATACAAAAACAAAAAATGCATACTGTTGAACATAATTAATGCAGATTTTCACCTTTTTCCTTTAATTTAAATGGAATGTATTTATCAAGTTTTTTAAATTTTTATTTTTTGCTTGAGAATTAAACATTTGAAATTGTTCAAACAGATGTATTAAATTTGTTAGTTTTCTGGATGTGATTGTTGAATCATTTTCAGCCCATTCAAATATTTTTTGCTAACAGCTTTTAATGAAGCATTCACTTGCAAATTTTGCAAGAACAGTACTATCTGAATTAGATGAAGCCTTGTAAAGCCCTTTTGATATTTATTTAACTAGTATTTCTTTCAATTTTTACTAGGACTCCTAGATCTCTGCTCATTTATGATCTTTGCTGCTAGTAATAAATATAGAACGACAATCTGAAAATTACCCAAAAAAGAAAAAAAAAGCAAGTATCGACTATAACATGAGCTAGTAGTAGTTCATATTATAGTAGATACTAAGTATTAAGATCATATTTTAAAAACTTTACATTCTTTATAAATCTAAAGACTTCTACTAGTCAGTCATATTAAAAATAAATGTACCATTGATTTTCCTAAGGTTCTGCACTAGTATAAAATAGTTATGATTACAAAATAAAAGAGGTAATGTTTAACCTTTTAAAAAAATGGTGTGTCAAAAGAACAGTTATTCCCTTGACACCGCTATTAATGTATACACTTCTGACTCCAATATTTATTATTTGCATTTTTTTCAAAATTTATACTTACAATTACTCGTTGTGTTTTCTTGTTTAGACATTTTTATAAATTTATGAATAAAAAATTATTTTTTGTCATTATTCCTTTTGTAAAATGGTAAATAGATATTTCATTATAGTTGGTTCACATGTTTTTTATATTCTTGTAAATAAGCAATCTAATAAATGTTTAATATCCTTGCCAAATTTCAGGAATAAAGAAAATGTATAAATCCACTTTCATTTGGGTTTTATTAAAATTGTAATCATTGCTTTTTAAAACAAACATTGCCAAGGGAAGCAAAAGTGTTGACAGTAACAATGGAATAACCATTTTTTTTGACACAGTGTTTTTTTTTTTTTTTTTTTGTTGGCATGATGGTTAAACATTGCTGACAAATAGAATCTTCACTTGAGGAGATAGGATTATACCTTTTATTTTGAATTACTTGAAATTTTAAATAGTTGGTTACAATCTTATTTGACAGCCTTACTGTGAATCTTTTAAAAATTACATATGACTCCTGTTATGATACATGGTAAAGTAATTCTTAGATTTACAATGTTCAAAGAAAAGGTTTACATTCATGTTTGGCCTTAGTCATTGAAAATTAATTGAAGAATATCACTAATCTTTAACTAGTTGTACAGAACATCAACATTTGGAAATTTATTAATTCTGTATAGGTGGAATGCTGCATTACAAAAGATCCCAAACTTTTTTTTCTATGATATTGACAACATCTACTTATTGATAATGATTGAAAGAATTGATGAAAACAAACCTCCAAAAACATGAACTTTGGGTAGTTTATTCACAATTTTGATTTTGATATACATTAACTTGGTCAAAAAGTTTGGAAAATACAATGAAGATAAATGAACAGACTTGTTGGTTGAATTTAATAAATCTTGTTTGATTGGATTCTTGTTCTCTCTCTCTATCTCTGTGTTTGTGTGTGGTGTGTGTTATCAAAGTAAATAACTTTTTTATTTCTGTATTTTATTTTAAAAGTTAAAAATACATTTGAGCATCAATGATACTTTATTATAAGTATTATTAACACTCAAATATGTAAAAAAAAACTTAACAGGTCTCTATAATTTGTCTTGTGAAAATAGCTATCTAGAAATTATTTTCTTTTGTATTTCAGATTCTGTATATACAAGCTTTTGTATTTGTTGTCTTAATGGGGAAATTAATGAGAAAAATATTTTTTGGCCAACTACGAGCTGCAGAAATGGAGGTTTGTGAATTTTATGATTTTCAAGTTTTTACATTTTGTTTGCAAAGTATATTCATATCTATATATAAAAAAATTCAACAATTTCATGTGTATTAGTATAATAGACATCAGACAAATGCAAAATAAAGTTTTAAATTCCTGATTTTATAGAAAAAATATTTTATTTATAAACTTTAGAGAATAACTAGATCAGCTTTAACTGATGAATTCATAAAATACTTATTATTTTGACAGTCTATATAGTTAATTTATAGTCTATTTAGCAGCAATGTTGCATTTCCATAACAAAGCAAATAGAATGATTGCAAATTTTAAAATGTGGTGATATGTTTTTATCAATAAATTTTGAAGTATAGAATAAGTAACTCATAAAATTTATAGATAAAATTTGCATCAACAAAAAAGTGTTTTTACTTTTGCTAATCTTAAGTTGTTCATTTATTCTTGCAATTATGACATTTAAAAAAAAAAGTACTTTCTATATTTAAGATTTAACAAGCGCAGAAAATTATTTTATTAGTTTGTGTTTAACCAACAATTCTGTTGCATTTTTTGTTGTTTTTTTTTTAATGTAATCTCTAGAATTAAATATAGTTAATTTTCTTATTGATATTTGCACACCTTTAGAAAATTGCTTTCTACACTATTCATCAATGATATGATGATGATTTCTAATAAGTCCAATAACATTAAGATGGCATTCAGTACAAAGTTTGATCAAAAAGTATCGGACTGGTGCTACAAAAATAAAACTACAACACATATCAATTCACTATTTAATTTCCTTCAAAGTAGTCCCCTTCTGAAACCAGACACTTTATTCAGTGTCATTTCCATTGATGGAAGCATTCCTGAAACTCCCTCTTAGGATAGCAAGCAGCTGCCTCATCGCATGCTCTTAGATTTCCTCAACATATTGAAATCTTGTTCCTTTCCAGTGAGATTTGATTTTTTGGAAAGAGGAAAAAATTGCAAATCTGGTGGTTGTTAGACCTGAAGAATGTTTTGCTTGGCCAAAAACTGCTCTACTGAATGGGTAGGTGCATTGTCATGGTGAAGTTACTCACTGGATGCATGCAATTCTGTCCTTTTCTGATAAACAGCATCCTGCAAACATCACAATACATCATGTTAGTTCTCATTGTTTACTGTCTGACTAGGTGGAACATACCACTAATGAACAATGCCCTTGTAATTGAAGAAAACTGTCAACAGTGTCTTCATATTGTTTTGACTCATTCATGCTTTCTTTGGTCTTGGAGAGTTTGGAGTATTCTGCTGTGAAGACTAGGCCTTGGTTCCAGGGTCATAGCCATAGACCAACAATCTATCAACTGTTTTTAAAGTTTTCATCTTCCTCAACATAATCAAGGAGACCTGTGCAGCTGAAACCCAATTTTATTTTTGGTCAACTGAAATAGCTTTCGCACAATCTTGGCAGATAGACATCTCTTACCCAAATCTTCTAATGTTCACATCCTCTGACAACTCACACATGGTTATTCAACTTTCTTTCCAAACAGTTGCACACACATTTCCAAGGTTTTTATCAGTTCTGCTGGATGCAGGTCTCCCAGAACGTGCATCACCGTCTCCATCTTGTAGACCATCTTGGAAATGTTTGAACCACTTATACACTCTTGTCTGGCTCATATACTTTCTGCAACTTTGCTTAGGTCTCTGTGCAGGTATCACCAAGCTTTTGCCAAAATTTGATGCAGATACTCTGCTCATTGGTCACTAATGGAACCTTTGTTGTGTGGCAAGACAACCACACTCTACACACTTTCCTTCCAAGCACTGCTATAAACAACTGAAGTGTATGAGGGTTAGAGTAAGACAGAGTTCGAGATCAATCTGTGCCAAACGGCTTCACTCTATGTACTTTTAACTGCATGACCATAGCAAGAGTCCCAGTACTTTTTGATAAAACCTCATACAAATATTTCTGCATATATAGAAAACTATCAAATTCTCATAGATGTTACTGCTTTTAATGAACAACAAATTATTCAGCAATCTTATTGGCAGTTTTTTGTACTAAATTCTTAAAATGGAAATCTTTATGTAATTCTTTATTTATAGTAATAATCAATCTTGGAATTTTTACTTGTTTTCAAAGGAATTTTTTTCAGAAGTTGTGATCAATTGAGATCATATGATTCATATTAATTTTAGCTTATAAATTAACCATTATGTATTGTTTAATGAATCTAATGTCGACAGTTATTTCTTTAACCTTTCTTTTTTATTTACTGTGCCTGAAATAATTGATCACTTGTTTAATGAATTATTTTCATTTTGTGTGTTTATAATTTGAGCATATCTATCACATTTATTTAAATTCAGTAATTTTTTTTTTTATTCAGCTTTGATTATTGCATATAAATCTAAGTTCCATTATTTCAGTATTATACAAATTTGTATTTTTTACTATAAAATTAGTTACAGTTGCTACTATCATTAATTTAGTCTTCACACTATAAGTAGACATTGAAAATTTCTTGACTCAACCCATTTCTTTGAATCTAAGCAAATGGCCAAAAATCAGAAATTTATTTTTTAGAGGAACTTTATCTAAGTAAATATTAAAACATAATTTAAATTGAGTCAAAGAAAACCTCCAATTTTTTTTAACCAAAATAATTGCCAATGAATTTTTTTTATAAACATTTTGGTAATTAGTGAAACACCAAACTTAGAACTCTAATTAACACCAACATTTAAGAGATACTGATATGATTAATTTCTAATCTGGCATCATTTAGTCAATCAGAAAATTAATTTTATAAAAAAAAAATTGAATTTGAGGAAGCATCCTCTCGGGAGTTCCATAAAATAGCAGTAGAGAGTTCTAGTAACATATTGTTCGTATGTTTACATTTGCTTAAAATTTGACAGTGTTTTATTTTTTTATTTTTTTTTTTTCTTGCAGCATCTCATAGAAAGGTCATGGTACGCTGTGACAGAAACCTGTCTAGCATTTACAGTTTTTCGAGATGATTTCAATCCAAGATTTGTTGCTATGTTCACCTTACTTTTGTTTTTGAAATGCTTCCATTGGCTCGCTGAAGACAGAGTGGATTATGTAAGGAAATTTTTGCTTTGATTTATTTGCTTCAGTCACCACCAGTTATGAATTGGTAATGTACAAACAAAATAACTGAATACTTTATTATATAGTAAAATTTATTTATAAGAAACTGAAGGAAATTTATTCATTTTAAACAGTACTAAAGTTTTATATAAAGAAATGGATAAAACATAATGTTTAAAGTATTTTTATGTAAAAATGTTAGTTACAAATTAATTTTTCTGAACTGCTTTCAGTTTTATGTTTATTATTTCATAAGAATCTGACTCCAGTAAAATAAATAAACCAAACAATTTTTAAAGATATTTTAACTTTATTTGTGATATGAGGGGAAAGCTGAAAAAATGATTTGCATTTGATTCCTGTAAAGTCACCTTTGCTATTATAATTTTTTATTTCACAAACAAATATAACTTTTTGGAAATTTAATCTAACCTTATGGTTAAGATAACATAAATAATAGATAAGAATGAATCCATAGTTCTTTGCCTTTGGATATTTTCATATTTATACTTGTTTTGGGGCTCCCAAAGAAATAGGAAGAGAAAATATTGAACAAATATACCTTAATTATAATTTGGTTTCACATACAAACTATAAATTATGATTACATTAGGAAAAACATGTTATTTTTGTTGAGGCTGCTCTAAAATTTTATGTGTATATACTTATTTTATTTGGAGATGCTACAGACTTTGACTAACTTAATATTTTTTTTTTCTAAAATCAGACTTGATAAATCTGTGTGCATGTTATGCAATTATTGCCCATCATCAAAATTACAGCATGAAGTTCATTTGAGGGTTTTTATAGCCAGCTAGCTTTGCCCTCTCTACCAAAAAAAATACTTGCACTGTAAATACAGCTAGTCAAATAGAAATAAGTTCTAGCAAATTACAAATAAGTCCTGATAATGGGCAAAGGTATCTTCAAACGTGAATTTAAATATTCGCACCATGTGCAGATAAAACTAAACAGGATGTTACCTTTCAATTTGATATACCTTAGAAGAAAATATTACTGGACAAATTAGTTCTATTGGGTGTGCATTTACATTCTTGCAAAATCATGTATGTTTTAATATTTTACTAATTCTGATGCTACAAAATATACAGATTTGGCTGTGTTTTAGAATAGCACTTGATTATATAAACCCCCTTGGTAAGAAAATTTGTCTTTTATCATGAAATGTAATATTGATGGTGTAGAAAAGTGGACAAATATTCGCCAACATCAGATTTATTTATATATTATAGATGTCTTTTATATTGGTTAGTCAAGAAATCTCTTTTAGTTTATTCAGTAATAAGTTGTTTTTTTTTTTAATTTTCAACATTAATTTTATTGAACAATAGATTTATTGTTTCACTTTCTTCTATCATCTTTCAGACAATTTCACATTTCTGTTTTCACAGAACATTTTTATCTCTTTTGGCAAAGAACTGCACTGACTGCCTTCTTGAAGTCTTCCAAGAAATTAAATTTTTTTCATTAAGACTATTCCATAAAGACTGAAAGTTAATTTGAAGGTGTAATATAACTAAATAAGCTGTCAATATTTTTGCTTGGCCATCAAGGAAACATAATCTAGCATTATCCTGATGGAATATTAGACTCTTTCTTGTAATTCCAGACATGTTAGGATCAGTATATATATTGCAATTGTTTGGTTCCCTTAAGGCAGCTTAAAGTTGAGGACACTCTTACAATTCTCCCATGTACACATCAATGGATGAAGATCAATCTTCAGTATGCTTAATAGTAGTCCATTTCACTTGTCCCACAACCTCAAAATTTATATATTTCAAATATATTGTCTCTAGCTTCAAACTATTATGCTTGATTAGTCAGTCTCTTTTCTATAAACTATAAAATTCTTTTTTTTTTTTTTTACATTTAAGTCAGTTTTACCTTACTTAAAGCAAATCTACCAAAAAAATTTGCTTATTTTCTTTGGTCTTTTAATGTTGGAATAAAACAAATATCAGTTGTTACATTTCTTTTTAACTGATATGCTAATATGTCCAACCCAAGTCATAACATTTGAATAAAAGAGGGTGAATAATGTTTGAATTTCTCTCACTCAAGGAACATAAAAAGTCACATTTAAAAAGAAAGTGGGAAAATCTGGTTTAGTAGATCATATCTGGAATATGAGCACACTTCTTCCTCTCTGGTATATTATTTACTGAAAGCAACTCTAGAGAATGAGAAGGTTGCAAAAGCTAACTTATTTCAGCTTACCTATTAGGGTGTATAAGGATAATATGTATGGATTTCCATACTTAGTCACTTATGTCCATGTTTACCTGAAATGAAACAATGTTATTAGTATATTAATGACCACTATTCTGAAAAAAAAATAAGGATTTCTTCTTTTCTCATGTATTAAACACCCGATAAAACCCAAAACCTGTTAACATCAAAAACGCATATGACTCTAACTGTCCAAACATAATGTTTATCTCCTCTCATTTATAGACAGTATGTATAAATTATGTAAAAATGTTCATAATTCCTTTTTGTTGTGAAGAATGATTTTTTGTAAACACTTCAAAGTGTGAATTTATATAAATTCACCAACTGTATAATATGAAGATCATAGTAACTTTTCAATGTGATGTTTATTTTGGTATTGCTATAGAAAATTTGACTTTGATCAGCTATTTCCCTATCTTGATGTTTTAGAAAAAACTAAAATTTAAACAGTAACTAAAAGGACATTGTTATGCAATTATATGTTGATATTATTAAGGTTATTTAAGCTTAAAACTATTAATTAGGTGATAATGTTGATGAGTTTCTATTGAATGATCTTTTCCATTTATACAGTGTGACTAATGTTTTGTACAGCTATGATTGATATTTAAGAATGAAAATTTATCTGGGCTCTGTCCTAGGCATAGATTAAAATTTTATATAGTGAAAATTATTTTACAACTGTAAAATAAATATTTTAAAAAATTCTCTAATGAATTTAGACTAAACATTGTTGAATATGCTGTACTTGTTAAAAATGATAAAATTTGTAAACTTTAATATTTTTATCTTTTGAAACTTTTGTTGAAATTATGAAGTTTTCAATTACTTAATACATTGAGATATCAGGGTTTTTTTTTATATATATAAGAAAATTGTTTTAATTTTTCAATTTATTTATAATCAAGATTTTGGATGGTTAATTGCTAATTGATTTGAGCTTTATAAAATGGTAAATATGTGATGTCCATTGGTCTTTAGAGACCATGAATCTGTGCCGAAAGAGTTATGCTTCAACTGCTGATGGCTGAACAGTATCTGTTACGTCTGTACAGGCCATATAGGAGTAACAGTCTCAGTTGAAACAGATGCATATGATGACACACTCCCTTGATGTCATTGTGTTGTTTTCTTTCTGTCAAGCATGCTATTTTTTCCCCCGGCAAGAAGTTTCTCCTGTCTTCACTCCAGCTCTTTGTGTAAATTGCATCTCCAGCATGAGTGATCATTGGTGACGTCTTCACACCTGTTGATGCACATGTCCCTTTAAAGTGAAGATAGTCACCTTCTTGCTGGTTGCCAGTTCCCTGTACAGAAGGACCTTCAGAATCCTCCCATGCAGTGTATGGAGTATATGTCCAAGCTAGCAGAGCCGGCACTGTTGAAGGACATATAGGCTGGGTAACTGAGTATGGGTGAGAACTATGGCATTACTGACTTGGACAAATTGATGCTCAGACAGCAAAAAATGAAAGGCATAGAGGTGTCTACTCTTGTCTGTAGAACAGCACACTAATGATGTTTCTTGACCAGTTCCTTCTACCCAAAAGTGTGTGTGTGTGTGTATATATATATATATATATATATATATATACGCACACACAGAAAGGGTGCAATGAGTAAATTGTTGCAATTTTATATTTTTAATTTTGCACATGCACCTTGTTTTTGATTTTGTTGACTATATAGTGTATAGTAGGGAGACTTGGACACTGTCTTTGAGAAAAAAAGTGCCATGATGCAATTGACTCTACCAGAAATTTGGGAATGGCATTTTGTACTGCTTGGCATTTTCGCCAGAAGCTCCAATACAAACATTTCAGTGTTTAGATGTCGATCTGAGGAGAGTGCAGAGGATTTGTAAAGAGTTAGATGAGTCTAATGGTGTTTACAAAGATGTTTGGAGTGGTCACTAGTGGTGGCAGCATTATGCCTCCATTCATCTTCATACAGGGCCTTAGATTCAACACTGAGGCCTACATCAAGTGCTTTGAGGAGGTAATGATGCTCCTGAGTCAAGAGGGTGGCTACTGGAAAACCCTGTCTTACAACAGGACTCTGTGCCATGCCACACAAGCAGGAAAACCCAGTCATGGCTGCCAGATAATTTCTGCAACCACATCACCCCTTACATCTAACCACCTAACTCCCCAGACTGCAACCCCCTTGTTTATTATGTGTGGGGCACAAATGAGTGTGAAACCAACAAAACTACTTGTAACCCCAAAGATAAACTGAAGGCAGGATTATGGCAGCATTCACCAACTTAAACAAGGAGACTGTCCTGAAGAATTGCATAAGATTCTGAAGTCATCTGGAGGCTGTGGTTGAAGCCAATGGTGATTTTATTGAATAAATTTACTCTTTAGTATTTTAAGATATTTTTGTGTGATTTTTGTGTGTGTCCTACTCAGAAGTAATTTTGTGGTGAGAAACAAAAACCACCAGTCTACAAATTTCAAGAGATACCATTGAAAGTAGACAAAGCCCTGAACTATGTAAAGTCTTTCACCTATCTTGGTAGCAAAGTCAACTACAGTGGAGCTTTAGGTGATGAAATCATGCATCAGATTGCTAAGGCTACCAGTGCTTTTGGCAAACTTTGCCATCACTTGTGGAATGAGTGGAGGTATTTAACTGGATACGAAAATTCAGGTTTACAAAGCTGTTGTCCTTGCCATTCTTTTGTATAGGCTCAGTCGTGAACTCCATACATGTACTGTATACGCTGACTG